CCAGTTTTGGGCTCCCCACTGCATAGTGACATACTGTAGGTCTCATGCACAAATGAGAAAGAGTCTATCAGGGAGCAACAAAAATGATTAGGGGGCTGTGGAACATCACTTATGAGGAGAGGCTGAAGAAACTGGGCATATTTAGTTTGGAGAAGAGAAGACTGAGAAGGGATTTAATAGCAGCTACCTGCTAGGTAGCAACTACCTGCAGGGTGGTTCCAAAGAGTTTGGAGCTGGATTCCTCTGATCTCCATCCAGTAGAGGTGCACTGAAACATCAGTCCCATATCAAATTGGCACCAAAATAAGGAAAAATCGAGAGCATCGGCAATTGGCTTTTTTTGGCTGATAAGTGGCCTGTGCATGCGCAGCCACAGCACAGCACACAGGTGGCTAGCACAGCCTGGCAGCAAGGACAGCAGCTGGGTCCGGCTGGTAAGCCTGTTGTAAGGGAAGGGAAAGGGCTGGGAGAAGGGGGTGCAGATCAAGACCCCTGTGGTGAGGGAGGGAGTGGGGCTAGGGCAGGTGTTGCACAGTTGGAATGGAGCATGGGATGGAACCCTGAGAGGCTCATCCTGGGGCACAGGGAGGGGGTAGCGGCTCCTGCCCCCAGATCTGTGCACAGAGCAAGAGCAGGCTGCTGCTGCGGGCTGGAGCTGGGTCTGAGCCAAGCTCTTCCCAGCTGGGGGCTAAGCCAGGCTGTGCTCGGGGCGGGCGGTGGCAATGCTGGGAGGGGAGGATGGGGGCGAGGGGCCTATGCCAAATTCTGGGGTGGCTGCAGGGCTCCCCCCAGTCCCCTCCCAGCACTGCTGCCACTTGCCCCAAGGGCAGTCCAGCCCCCTGCCAGGAAGAGCCTGGCACCAGCCCCAGCCCGCAGCAGTAGCCCACCCAACCCCGCGCACAGGTCCAAAGGCACACGCTCCCCATGACCTATGGCCAGTATGACTTGTTAAAAATCAACCATTGAGATTGGCCCCAAAAATCTCTTTCAGTGCACCCCTACTATCCAGGCAGTTTTCTGAAATCTAAACAAATGTCTGGGATTTTGCTCTGTTCCACTGGCAGGAATGGGGGGTGGGGGGGGTGGGGAAGGTAATTGGAGGTAGAGAGCACCACATGCAAGTGTGAACGCATATGCATGCGGCCAGCATGCAGCCAGGCAGGGTGATGGGAGCAACCTCGGCAGTTGGATGCAAATCTATGGAGGGCTGGGGTTGGAGGGCCAGGGCTTGGGGACTGTTGGTGGGTATAGAGGGATGGGTGTGTGAGGGAGGGGCGGGTGCCTGCTGCCACTTGGGGAAGGTGTCCAGGTGCTGGGGCTGTGGCAAGGCAGGGGGAAGTCGCCTATCCCTCCAGCAGGGGAAGAGCACAGCAGAGAGCTCCATAGCCAGGCTGGTGGCACAGGGGCTGATGCCCATGCCCACAGGGGCAGGGCACCCAGGAGATGCAGCCAGGAGTGGGGGGGCGTGGTCAAGCCACCCAGCTTGGTGCTGGAGCCATGGCCCAAGGCAAGGGGTGCCACAGGCCGCCTTCCTCTTCCCCCCACCCCATGCTGAGGCTGGACGTGCTCCACTGCTGCCCGCATGAATCAGAGTCACCGTGATCTGGCCTGGTCAGGACAGGGGCAGTGGGGGGCCCTTCCAGCAAAGCTGGGTGAAGCAGGGGGCTGCAGGTCAGAAGTGAGGGGAACCAGCAGGGCAGCCGGGGGTGGGGGGAAGAATGGAATGGAACGGGACAGGACGGGACGGGACGGGACACTGTGGCTTGGAAGTGAGAGCATAGGGTGGGGTGGCTTTTGGGTTGGCTGTGGGGCACTGGCAGCACCAAAGGGCCACGGGTTGAGTGCGAAGAGCACTGGCATGACCAGGAGGGTGGGGGAGGGAATTGTGGGTCAGCAGCAAGGTTGGGGGCTGTAGGTCAGAACTAAGGGGTACTGGCAGGGCCAGGGGGCAGTGGATGGGGAGTGAGGTGTCCCCCTAACAGGTGTCCTCTTTTTTGGAACTGGACATATGGTAACCCAGGGGTCGGCAACCCCTGGCACATATGCCAAGCATGGCGCACATGCCAAGCACGGCACACCACAGCCAGCCCTGGCTCCGGCCCAGGCTGCTTCCAGCAGGGCTGTAGCATCCCAGCTGCCTGCTGCGAACAGTCCAGTCTCCCGGCTGGCAGCAGCTCCCACAGCCGTGCCGGGCTCTGGCATCAGCTTTGCACTGGCGCGTGCACCCATGTGTCGGAGTGGGCGGTGGGAGGGGCCTGAGGCAGTGCAGCCCCAGTCTCTCCCCCACTCTCGGCATGGAGCTCGGCACAGCTGTTTGTAGCCAGCCCAGGCTCTGGGCAGCTGCAGCAAGCAGGCTGCAAAAAGCTACGCCAGGCTCTACAGCTCTGGCATCAGCTGTGCTGGTGGTGACTACACGTGCACCTCAGGGCAGACAGCGGGGCAGTGCAGCCCACCCCAAGGTCTGCATGCAGTCACTGCCAGCACGGAGCTACTGCCGGAGCTGTAGAGCACGGCGCAGCTGTTTGCAGCCTGCCTGCTGCTTGCTGCAGCTGCCCAGAGCCCAGGCTGGCTACAAACAGTTGCGCCGAGCTCCGGAACCCTGCTATTACCTCCGTGCCGGGAGCGGGAGACCGGGGCTGAGCTGCCTCAGGCTCCTCCCCCACTGCCCACTCTGACATGCAGGTGCACGTGCTGGTGCAGAGCTGATGCCAAAGCCTGGCACAGCTGTTTGGAGCCTCCCGGGTCTGGAGAGCTGCTGTCAGCCAGGAGCCCAGGCTGCTCCCAGCAGACATCTGGGACACTGCAAGCCCTGCTGGGAGCAGCCCGGGCTCCAGCAGCTACCCAGAGCCAGGGTAGCTGCTGGCAGCCACAGAGCCTGGGCTGGGGGGCAAGGGGCAGCAGGGCTGGGGGGCAGGGGCTTTGGGTGTGGGGGGGAAAGGGGCATAACCAGGGCATCCTGCCATGTACCCCTTACCCTCATTTTGTTTTTTTGCCATGCCGGCACTCCGGCACCTTCTGAGGTAGGCATTGTGGTGTTTTTCGGTATTCCGGCCAAAAAACATTGCCTACCCCTGTGGTAACCCTAGCCCTGCTTTGAGCAGGGGGTTGGACTAGATGACCTCCTGAGGTCCCTTCCAACCCCTATTTCCTATGATGCTACAAGTAGTACATAAGAAGGCAGATGTTGAGGGATATTTTCAAGGGAACCTGGACACGCAAGGCAGAGATGCATACTCACTGCTGACAAAGCCAAGCCAAGCCAAGCCAAGCCACAACTAGCCAAGAGATCCTTATGCAGCAATTACAGACATTTGACCCTTAATGGTCTACATCTCCTCCACACAAACGCACGGGGATGGAAGGCCAGAGCTTGCCTCAGACCACCAAGAGGGATCCCAAGGGGCCCCAGACCTTGACAACCCAGGAGCAAGCATGCCTGTGTATTCTCTGCTGTAGGTAACTGCTCTTGATTGTTTAGGTTAGATCAGTGTTTCTCGACCCGTGGGTCACGATCCAAAAGTGGGCTGCAAGAATATATGAAAGGGTTGCAAACAAACTTTAAAAATGGATCAACAAACTTTTAAAACGGAGACAAATGTAGGAAACGCTGGGTTTTCCCTTGCAGGCTGTCAGAGATCCAGCCTGCGAGGGGCTGCTTGGGACCCCCCATTGCCCTACACACTGGGGAGCTGGGGCCTGGGGGCACTGGGCCAGGACTGGCCATCAATGTTTACAAATGGATGCTGGTACAAAAAAGGTTGAAAACCACTGGGTTAGATATTAGGCAGACAACAGAACAAGGAGCAATGGTCTCAAGTTGCAGCAAGGGAAGTTCAGGTTAGCTATTAGGAAGAATGTTCTCAGTAGGACGGTGGCAAAGCACTGGAACAGGTTACCCAGAGAGATGGTAGAAGCTCCATCCTTGGAAGTTTTTAAGACCCAGCTCAACAAAGCCTTGGCTGGGATGATCTAGTTAGGGCTGGTCCTGCTTTGAGCAGGGCTTTGAACTAGATGACCTACTGAAGTCCCTTCCGGCCCACATGGTCTAACTATGACCTACTGTCTATGACCCAAAGGACAATATCCCCATGCACCCGCAGCCAGTGCAGAAGGACTGCCCTTGGCTCCTCTCGTGCCCCCTGCTGCATAAGATAAAAGCCTCCAGGATCGCCCTGGCTGCAAGGCTGGACCTGAGGCTCCTTCCCGGTTTCTGTGCAGGGAGCAGCAGCACCCCAGGGCGACGGTGGCCCAGACGAGCAGTGCTGGCACAGAGCAGAGTGCGTGGGGGCGGGGGCCAGGCAGATGCCCAACTAGTCCGCGCTGCCTC